ACTTTTAATTTGACTCGAAGCTAGTGACGCCGTTACATATCTCGTCACAGGTGATTGTAACTAGTGACGTGAAATAACGCTCACGTCTAGTAGGGTGCTGTGAGCGCTACTCCAACTGTACTGGTCAAGTATAAATCGCGCATAAATAAAAAAGAAAGTTGGCATTAACACTAGCAATAGAGTCGACTGTTGTGACATATGACATAACATAAAACTAAAATATAACCTGTAAAAGAAATATTTTTTCTTGGTTTTAACGACAATATACGTTTTGTAACCGTGATTTTACTTAATTAACAAAATGCCAACTTATGAATTAGCACTAATGCTACGGGCAATGCCCAAACAAGATCTAAAAACGACTCTTACACGGGTGTCTCATGCTATCTTCAATCGTGGTGGTATTATTAGAAACATTGAAAATTTAGGGTTCCGAGCTTTACCATATAAAACTAGTGCTCATGGTTTGATTCACCGAGAAGCAAATTTTTTTGTGTTTAAAGTAGACACAGCAACTAAAGCTGTAGCAGATCTTAAAGAAGAATACAGTAGAGATGTTGATATTGTACGACAGCGAATGTTTAAAGCTCAAACCGATTGTGAGCATTCATGCACTTTAGAAGAAGAGATGTTACCACCAGCATATCGCGAAGAAGTACAAAAAATGATAGAAATCGGAAAAACGCAAGTAGATCGCTTTAAGTATAAATTCAAATACAATTCTGGCTTAGATTATTACCCTTTCCAAAAATAAGTTAATCTGTGTATGTAATAAGTAAGTGTTATTATAGATTTATAAATATAGAAGAATAGTTTGTACAAATATATTGAGTTTTTCTTTATTTCTACCATAAACCACATGCTTTTTGCCTTTTATCCTATATAGAAAGAGAATAAACGTATAAATTCAAGCTTAACATAAATTTACTTATTGAATTGTGTCAAAAAGTTTTGTAAAGCCTTAAGTTATGTAATATTGCTATCTATTATCTTGATTTTTTTAGGAAAATCAAAACATTTGATATCAAAATATTAATTTCAAAAATGTCTTTTGTATCTAGATTTGTTGTTTTAAAAATAAACCTAACAGATGTCAAAAGTGATGTATATGACATAATGTTATTTTATTATTTCTTCTAATTTACATTTAATATTTCTTTTTAAGTTTTTTATTTACTTTTAAGAGTTGAAATTATAGTTTCATGCAAACATAACATGCACAAAGTTTTATTAAAATCTCTTGTATTTAGAAGACCAGTTTTAAAATATAGCATCAGGAGGAAAGCATATTATCAACATAAATATGATCCTAAAGTTGAAGAAGTTATAAATAAACAAATCCAAGCGGAGCAGCAAGCAGCTCAAGATTATTTAGCAATGGCGACAATGTTTTTGCATCCATGCATGTCACGACCAGGGGCTGGTGGGTACTTTATGAAAATGTATAATGAAGAACTAGAACATATGCAGAAACTTATTGAATACCAGTTGATAAGAGGAGGCGCTATTGTTATTAGTGGACTTAAAGCGCCAACAATGGATAATAAATTAACACTGCAAAGTGCCTTTAAAAAGGGTCTGTGTATGGAGAAAAGTGTTACAGAGGTACAGAGGCTTGTAATCTTATTAATAGTATAAATGTGAAAGTTTGAATGGATGTTTGATAGAGTTTTTTGAGTGAACTGATAAACATATCTCGATTAAATATGGCATAGATACTGAAAATAGTCTGGAAGAACGCATAGGTTACTGTTTAATCTTTTTTTTTAATTTGTGTGTGGAAGATGACAAAATTAGTATGTTAAATATTATGAACATACATTATTATGTACTTGTTGTAAAAGGCCATCTAGACTCGACTCAACTTATTTCTGGTATGGTATATTTTAATATCTTTTACTTTTATTTACAGTTATTAGAAAATGTTGTTGCGGTAGCCGAAAAAGTAGATGATTATCAATGCGCGGATTTTATAACATCAGTATATTTGGCAGAACAGATGGAGTCTATAAATGAACTCTCACATCATGTTACAAATATAGACAGATTGTGTAGAGATGAGCATGCAGTATATCAATATGATCTGCAATTATTGAAAACCTATCCAAATCCATTTAAGTTTAAAATGCCAGAACGGTAACAATAAAGCTAAGCTTGAGCAGAGAATGAAAACGAATATATTTGCAATATTGTCAGAGTAAATCCTAAAGTTAAATTAAATTTTTGGTCAAATTAATACAGTTATTACTAGATTTCTAAACATGTTTTAACAACATATTCAACAAATTTGAAAATTAAACGTTTATTTTCGAACAAATGTTATTTAATGTTCACATGTGAGAATCGATCTGTAAATCTTTAAGAGTAAGAATTCTTTCAATATCATTAACTTGACAGTCCTGCAGTGCTGTCTTCAGTTGTGATTTCTGGCTGCTGTTATCACGACCGTATAAAGATAATTTGCACCAATCAGTATACCATTGCTCCACTGTAGCTGTAAAGATAAATATAAAAATCAAAGAAAACTTTTAAAAAAATCCTATTGAGAAATTAATAAAAGCGTGTGTCAGATATATACAAGTAGCGCTCAGCGCCATCTAAGCACTAATTTTTGAAAAACTCGGAACAAGGACGCATCTTACCAACTAATTCATTGAAATATTGTACATTTTTGGTATCATCCACTGATTTCCATACTCGTAGATATTCCTCACAGAGTATGGGTTCAGATTCATTAGTTATGGTATTCATATCTAAATCAAGAGCCCTGAAATATTAAAATTATGTTGATACCATAATAATCTTTTACTTATGTATGAATTGAGACAAATTTCTCAACATTATTTAATACATACCCAATAGCTTCTTTCAATATGAATTCTTTTTTTCTTTGATATTCCGATAGGAATCGATCCTTGATACTTTTAAATAAAATTGAACAACACATTTCTGGAATATCTAGAGAAAAAATATCATATCGATATGTATTTGTGCAAAAAAGCTTTTACTTCTTATCTTTTTTCTAAGAGAAACTTACCACAAGATATATCGACACGAATCGCTCTCTTCAAGGAGCAATAAGATAAAAGATCTTTCAAAGTGGATATTGTTGATACATTATCGGATTTGATTGAAGCTGAACCTCGTCTAAAAGGAAATTTCTGCATCATATAATTATATTTAGCACAAAATCATGACAATGTTAATGGCACGCTCAATGTCTTGATGGTTACTTATACAGTGCCTTAGATTAGATTACTTATTCAAAATCTACACTAAGTGGTTCTTTAGAGAACATTTAACAACTCTAATTGTGACCAGTCAAATCGCTTAGAATAAACTTTCAATTATTCTTACTGGTATCGGCAAATAAGGATCGTCTTCAATAGACAGTGCACCCTGGCGAAGGCAATGCTGGCGGCAGGCCTCGGCAGGTCGCCCGGCAGCGCCTCGCTCAACCATGACGTCATCTCAGCCACGGAGAACCCGCCCGACAAGCGTAGTTCACACCACACTCTGAAAATAAACAGATAAAAGCAGATCGATATTGAATACTGTTACTTCTCCGTGAATCTAGTAAGCAAACATTGCTTTGGATTGTTGACCTGTCATCATCGCGGTCCGGGTCATCATGCTGTGAGTATTGCGGTAAAGCAGGCAAAGATAATTTGATGAGCCTCGCGACCCGCGGCGCGCCGGCGGGCAGCACATACACCAGTACTTGCGTACCCTCCGAAATCTCTGGCCCAGAGTTAACAGTTGTCCTCATTTGCAGCCAGATACGTCTGGTCCCAGCTTGACATCTCACCGTTGCAAGGATTTCTGAAGTATTGCCCTGCATGAAGGCCCTGGTATATGCATATACGACTATTTTAGCATAACATACGCAGTTGTAATAATTTTGATTACCTGCGGAGGGCAAACGCTTAATACGGCAGCAGTATCGGTTTGCACTTCAAGCTTTTTATTGCAGTAAATAAAAAGCATGTCCAGAGGAACGCCTGCTGTGATAATCACTTCTTGCCAACCATTAAGCATAGCACCTGTTAACTTCATTAAGAAGAATAATATAAAAATCAGCTAAAACAACACAATTTTTTCAAT